TATATATATATATATATATATATATAGTATATTATTATTTTATATATATATATATATATATATATAGATGTATATATAAATATATATATATATATATTATATACATATATATATATATATATATATAACTATATATGTATATGAATGTACCTTGACATGAATATGCGCATACTCCCTGATATAATATTATTCACTGTCTCACAGAAAGCTCGGAACGGCTCTCAACGAGGCGATCCGCCAAGGCACATGGGCTGTAGGCGGGTCACGGCGTGTGGCGATGTCGATTGAGCAGAAGATTGTGGAGTGGGATAATGATAACACATCCTTCTGCTCGCTGTGTAAGGATAGATTCGGGTACTTCGATCGACACCACCACTGCCGGCTGTGCGGGCGTGTGGTGTGTACCAAGGAGAAGCAGTGCTCCACTCTGTTGACATTAAATCACCTCAGTATGTCCCTCACAATATATCATCCAGTAATTGACTATGGTGCATTGTGTTTATCTATTAGGTTACATGAAAATAGTTGCGTCCCTCATAGTATATTTGAATATGGTGTATATTGTTTATATACGGGGTTGCGTGAGAAAAATCACGTGTGCATACATGGGTCGATCTGTGTACTTTGATCACCACTGCCACTGTCGACTGCGGAGGCTAGTGGTGTGTACCAATGAGAAGCTGTGCTTCACTCTGTTGACTTTGCATCGCCTCAGTATCTCAAACAACCGTCGTGTTGTGTAGTCCTGTACGGTACTATGTACATAATCATTTATACGCGTCCGTCCATATGTGTAGGGTAGTATCTCATATTTATTTATATCTTTACCCTAAGTAAAATAACTACTTACCTATGCATCCACATCGCGACTTGCCAGGGCACGTCCATCCAGCCTCCTTGTTAGCGACCACACACTATAGAACACCTATTCATTCTTCCCACTGCACGGAAATACTTAGGTTTCCTCGTTGTGATTTCTCTCAGGGAAGCTACAGAAGAAGATCGGCATGCGCCAATTAAAAGAGAAGTTGCATCCCACACTCAGAAACTACCCGGTGCGTGCATGCAGGCGCTGCCATCATTTACTGCGAAGGTAACGTATAGTATATATCCGCGTATGCATATACGTCTGCATGCTTACGTTTGCACAGGTAGCTAAATTTGTGTCTGTCTGTCGTGTCTGTATGTATGTATGTCATTAAATACACAGACGTACAGGTGTCTGCATACGTTGCAAGTGTGCATGTATGTGCATATGAATTCAATGATGCCCCACACTCAGGAGCCACTCTACTTCGCGCGTGCGTGCAGGCACTCTCACTATCTACTGCGACAACAGAGCGAAGCCTGTGACGCTGTGTAGGTATATTTGTGACTATTTATGTTTATGCAAAAGTGAGGTGTGTGCAGGTGTGTGCGTAGGTGTGCAATTGCATAGGTTGTGATCAGACACGTGCGTACGCATGCAAGAGTACGTATAAACGGGTTGTTGTAGTTCGGTACTTTTCTTGAGCTGCACCCGCGTCGATACTTAGTCTCTCCGAGCCTGCCTTCCACTGGTAATGTCGTGAACACCCCTCCTCTAAATCAAGTTTAAGTAATGTCGTGAACACCCCTCCTCTAAACCAGGTTCAAGTAGCTAAGTTTTACCAACTGTCTCTTTACCATTATTTAGATAGTAGCCAGCTCAATCGGCTGGATCGAAACGTCCATCAATACGCACTATGTTGGCCATGGTTTATTCTCGATTAAACCGCTATCTTTGATTTGCGACGCAATTTGCAACACACGGCGAGATTTCAAAAGCGACCACCCACTCGTTATTGACGCCTTAGTGACGCCTTAGTGCAGCAATATTGATTCCAGGAGATGCTATACTTGCACTGCTTCTCAGTCAACATATGTGGCATATAAAAGTGTATTCTATATAAAACGCTAGTAGTGGACTCCATCTGCACCGACTAGTTGCATCGAGCCTTCAGTGAGCATCCGCAGAGATCGGCACCCGCGAAAGTTGTCTATCAGCGCGTTGAAAAGACCCACGACAAAATACCGCTTATTTCCCCACATACATGTTATCTTATGCCTTATTTTCCCACGTACTTGTTATCTCGTGCCTTATTTTCCCACGTACTTATCATCTCATGCCTTATTTTCCCACATACTTGTTATCTCGTGCCTTATTTTCCCACATACTTGTTCTCTCATGCCTTATTATCCCACATATTTGTCATCTCGTGCCTTATTTTCCCACATACTTGCTATCTCATGCCTCATTTTCGCACATACTTGTTATTCATATCACAAAGCTTATTTTCAAATACGCTTCTTATGCTCTCCCATCTCATTTAAAGTACGCTCATCATCTTTTGATCTTATGTCTCGTATTCCGCATGCGAGTGTCCCTACAGGCGTGAACAAGAGTGTGATGACAAGAAAGCACAAGCGGATCCACTGACTGAACAGTATCAGCTGTGGAGAGCTAAACGCGACGAGATAGAAGACCTCGTAGAGGAAGGAGAGTCTATCCGAGACAAGTATGCGTCATGTGATATATATATATATATATATATATATATATATGTGTGTGTGTGTGTGTGTGTGTGTCGTGTACGTATATGTATACATGCCTATATATACGTAACATATACAAACATGGTAAATATATATGTCTGTATATGCATACACGCGCTATTTAAGAGGTATGAGTGATATGACGAAGGCATTAAGTAAACAGACACTGGGCAAGCATTGGACACAAACACGCGACGTATAATACGATGACGACAGAAAGGTAGGTAGCAATCTATGCATATATTGATTTATAAACCCTAAACCCCCAAATCCTAATCCTTTTTCGTAGAAGACTATTTATTACTATCTCTCATCAATGCGTTGCATGCAGATGTAGCACACAATCGGTTGTGTACTATGAACCGTCACAGACAGGTAAATATCAGGTTGCGATACGAACAATTAATATGACAAGACAGGTAAATATCTGGTGGCGATACGAACAATTAATATGACAAGACAGGTAGATATCAGGTGGCGATACGAACCATTAATATGACAAGACAGGTAGATATCAGGTTGCGATACGAACCATTAATATGACAAGACAGGTAGATATCAGGTTGCGATACGAACAATTAATATCACAAGACAGGTAGAATCAGGTTGCGATACGAACAATTATTATGACAAGACAGGTAAATATCAGGTTGCGATGCGAACAATTAATATCACAAGACAGGTAGATATCAGGTTGCGATACGAACAATTAATATCACAAGACAGGTAGATATAAGGTTGCGATACGAGCAATTAATATGACAAGACAGGTAGATATCAGGTGGCGATACGAACAATCAATATGACAAGACAGGTAGATATCAGGTGGCGATACGAACAATTAATATGACAAGACAGGTAACAATTAATATGACAAGACAGGTAGATATCAGGTTGCGATACGAACAATTATTATGACAAGACAGGTAAATATCAGGCTGCGATACGAACCATTAATATGACAAGACAGGTAGATATCAGGTTGCGATACGAACAATGAATACGTCTCTCATCACAGTATATACAAGCTTGTGGCCTCGTCTTTAGCCTTCATGATACCGTTTATGGCACCATGGCAATTCACACACATCTTCAATTGGTATGTTGTCATGTGGGGTGCGTTTTCCGATGTGTTGAAAGTTCCCGCGTGTGACGTCGCATGTTGGCCAGGCATTAAAGTATAACCAAACTCTCAGCACTCGTATAGACGAACAGCCGATCACTGCCACGGGGGAGTTTTTCGACTTAGTTGGAGAGCCCAAGGGATGCACATGAGTTTAGAATATACGCAATGTATAGTACCAGTCCCCAACCATCGCGGAGACTTGATCATTTCTATGCACACACTCAACGATGTACACGTGCGCAGGGTGTATGTATCACCGGAAGACGTTGAGAGATCTGTGGAACTGCGGAGGTCTATCAAGCTTCTCTTGGCCGCGTGCGATGCATTGGGGTGAGTAATCGAGTTGCAATATATATATTTGTATATTTGTATATATACATATATCATATATACATACATACATACATACATATATATGCATATATACATATACATATACAATATGTATGTATATATATATATATAGAAATGAGACCACACTTTAAATGCCAGGTTGAGAAGTGCTTTGCCTGCGCACTGACATATATATATATATATGTGTGTGTGTGTGTGTGTGAGTGTGAGAAAGAGAGTGTATGTGCGTGTGTGCGTGCTCGCGCGTGTACGTGATATATATGTGTCTATATGTTCTGTGATATTGTACATTCGACTAGCGTCTGTTTTAAGCAACAGGTGGATGGTCCATTGTTGACTTCTATTAATGCGTAACAAGCATCCCAGTGTGTGAATGTATACTTACATTGATTCAGCTCCACTCTTCCTGATAATCGGGCACACTCTACACACATAAACACACACACACATGGCTTGTACTTTTCCCTCTGTGTGTGAATACACCCTTAGCCATTTAACACCCCACTTTCTGATACTCGTGCACTCTGGTTCTTCGCAGAAAACAGATAGCGGTTGCTCCACCAGTCGCGCCCACACAGTCGAATGCACAACAACGCACACCTAAACAGGCAACACAGCAAGCCAACTCGGTGCAGGCTATGGCCATACGCACCAACATTAGGAGAGCAATTATACAGTATATGCAGGTATGTAGACAGGTACCTATGTTAGTAAGTGTGCGTAATCGGTTGTGTGGGTGTAAACGCAAGCATCTGTGCGAGATCAATACGTTAACGTAAGCGATTAGGATGGCGTATGTACCATACGCATCTACGCTAGGCGAGTTACCATACAGTATAGGCAAGCGTTTAGTCCCCTTTGTGAGAATGGGTGCTCAATCGACTGTTGATTTATACGTAAGCATTTTAGCGACTTCTACTAGAAGCGTGTATGCATATAGCGTTCCATGTCAATTCCAAACTCGTGATTGTTAGTACGCCCGCCTGAGCATTCGATTTTATAATATATAAATATATATATATATATATAAATGTGTGTGTGTATAGTGTAGTATAATGTATAGTATATATACGTACATAAAAATATACCCGCCTGAGCATTCGATAGTATAATATGTAGATATATATATGTGTGTGTGTGTGTGTGTAGTATAGTATAGTGTAAATTGTATATATATATTTTAACACATCCAGAGCAATACATTTTACCCCTTAACCCTGAAACCCTATACTCCTATACAATCCTTTCATCTCCTCAGCGGCGCTTAATGGACGTCCAATTATTCCCCATCAAACCCTCACCCAAGCCTCCGCCTGCGCCGATACTTGCGCCAGCCACACGCACGAGATCTGCGACTGTAGACATCACGCAGAACAGGTCTAACCAATGCAAACTCACAGGCACAATGTCTCAGTCAAATATACGCGCCGCTGTGAATAACGGGACGGGGAGTAGGTAGATGATGGTGCTTGTGCGGCATTGTGTATGATGAATGCATCTGTGTGTTTGGGTGACAAAACACGGGGTCAGTAGGTGCACAGGTACACTCGATACCGGCGCAATAGTTTGTTTAATTAAAGTTGTCCGTGGAATATATGCGCTCAGTACAACTAACCTTCTGCCTCCTGGATCACACCGCGAGACCAGTACACAGACACAGACGCAACCGGTACAATACAAGACTGAGGCGGAGTTGTACTCGGCGATCTCAGCGTATGTCGACCAGCGCCTGAATCTGCTGGACATGATAAAAAAGGTACAGTTCTCCCTATATATATAAATATGTATATATATGCATATGTATGTACATGAATATATATGAATACATATATATACATATATATGTATATATACATGTATATATAAAGATATATATAAATGTATATATATAGATATGAATGTATATATATATGAATGTATGTGTATATACAAACGTATATATATTTAAAAATATATTATATATATATTTATATATATATACATATACACGATGGTAGTGATCGATATAGATATAGAGATAGATATATATTTATATATATTATATATATATATGTATACATAAATGTGTATGCGTTTATACATGTATATTTATATGTGAATGTGCATATATATGTCTGACGTATACGTGGATATATATGAGAATATAAACTTAAACATAAACTTAGACATATATATATATGTATATATATGTCTGTGTGTGTGTGTGTGTCACTATGTCGGTAGTACCGAAAACAGTTACTTTCGTTTGTAAGCATTTGGGGTGGACAGTTCGGAAATACATTTCGAATCCATGTAAACTTAGACATATATATATATGTATATATATGTCTGTGTGTGTGTGTGTGTGTCACTATGTCGGTAGTACCGAAAACAGTTACTTTCGTTTGTAAGCATTTGGGGTGGACAGTTCGGAAATACATTTCGAATCCATGTCCGCCTATGTGGGTGTTTGTAATGCATATAAGGTAGCACGGTACTTGTGTGCACGAATTCATATCCGCTAGTACAAGTGTGTATGTTCGCAAGCAAACAATATATGTGGTACTACCTACTGAACACGTCCTGCCCATCCACAGAGCCAGAACGATGAAGAATACGCTATACTCACACGGTCACTCGAAGAAATCGACTACGAGCTGCAACGACTAGGAATAGGGACGTGATAGCATATAAGGCTAATAAATAAATTATATCGTAAACTACGGCTTTGCCTCCACATACATCGTATCCTTACATACATACACTTCATTCGACTTGGTCTGACACGCCAGAGTGGCACAAGTCGTACATCCAAACTCACACGACCAAACTTAAGACATACCTGTCAACCATAAGCATCTCAGCAGACGTTTGAAGACCTCTCAGCCTCGTGGATCTACTCAGTAACCGGATGCCGAGTGCTGGTAGCAAAACACTATCCAGGCAGTGCCGGTGTGTGTTTTCAGCCCCGTCTGCGACATAGGCACAGACTCGGCGAGCACTCGGGTCTCGACATGACAAATGTCATCGATAGATAGGAGACGAAAGCCACACAGGAACACAAGACAACGACTCACACGGGGACATAAGAAAACAACCCACAAAAGGGAGTCTACAAATTTTAATACTGCGGTGTGGTATAGCCGCTATCTTGCGTTGCGAAGCTATCTTATCTCTCTAGCCCTGTTTTTGGCTTCCTTTTTTTCTTTTTTCTTTGGGCTTTACTGATGCGCGCGAGTCATTGGAGGGTGGTCGCGGCGTATCCTAATGTATTGTCTGCGTGCTACTACACTAACAGACCGGCGTATGTTCTCCAATTCAAAAATTAACTTCCGTGCTGAGATACGGTAGGCATGGATGTATACATATGCCTATGCTTCATCACGTAGGTGTATGCGATTAACATGCCTCGCCCATACGGACGGCTGCTAAGTTAACCGCCAGTTGCGCTGTGGTACACGAACTAGACGCTACAACCTTTGCCCCAATCTTCTTCGCCACAGACGGGTAGCTATACGGCCGTGCAATGGCCGCGGGGTAGTTGCGGTTGATTGCCAGTTCCACCGCCTTGTCCTCGATGGTAAGACCATTAAATCCCAAACACTTCGCAAACCTCTCCTCCAGGGTTTTCACACAATCAAGCTCGCTGCATTTACTATCCAATAATCTCAGCTGCCTCAACTCTTCGACTATTTCATTAGCCGCAGTAAGCGCACTGCTGGCCTTCACAATCTCTGCGCGTGCGTACCGTTTCTTTTCAAACGACACACTGGCTGCACGCATAGACGCATCCTTACCGGGAATCTGCTGGGCCCCGTATAGAGGCTTACCCCCCCATGTAGCATTAGTAAAACTGGGGATGAACCCGGCCAAGTGACCGATACTCGAGTCCGCACGCTCAATCAGCTCCTCTCTCTCCCATCCGGTGGTGATTTTGCTCTCCAGTGAGGCGGGTAGTTGCGGTTGAGCGGACTCATCGGTGCTTGCTACCAGACCCCCATCGAACAAGGTAATATTCTTAGTCATGCCGTGCAACTGGTAGTGTCCGTCTGGGTAAGGTGTGATCTGTGCCATACCCTTGGGCGTACCTCGGACTCCGTGGAAAATAACCTCAGGCCACACAGCCCCATTCCCGTTCCACTTGGTCACGTATGCGGCCTTGAATTCCACAAATCTCTCGCGTTTGAACCCAGACATGTCATCCATAGCCCCCGTGCGGTATCCACTCGCATTGACCACATAGTCTACATTCAGCACCTCAGTCTGACCGGTTTGCACATTTCTGACTGACAACTCCCAGCCACTCTCGCCCTCGTTGTCAGTGTCACTGTCACTCTCCGACTCACTGTTTGTGCGAACTAATGTGGTGCAGTCTGTGGTAGTTGGTACGCTCTTCTCCTTCATACTGAGTAGCTCTGTGTGAGTGCGTAGGTCACAATTATCCAAAGCTCCTAGCGTCAGCTCGGCTGTTGCCGCAATTCTCAGTGAACTCAACCCATACTCCTGGACAAGTACCAAGGGAAACTTGAGCCTATTCAGGTCAACCTCTTTAGCAATGGGTACCATCCAATCATCGTTACAATTGGGTGCAGTGGGAGTGGGCCTGAGAGCCAACTGTTCAAGCTCTGCTCGTTCGTACAACCGGTAGTAGTTATTAGGCTCGCCCAGTACTTTATTCCTGGGATTCTCAGCCACAAGCTCGTGATACCTAGCCTTTAGCAGGCGCAAGCGGGGCAACAGGTCCAATGGTTCACCATTGTCCTGAGTAGGCACTGTAATTACAGTAGGGCGAACATTGATGCAAGTGGGGTATATACGTACGGTTTCAATACTCTGTTTCAAAAGTTTTAGACATTGCTGGTCCGAAATCTCTCTGTACAAGTTACCTCCAGCGTGTAAGTGACACATTGGTGGGCCATTCACGAGCCCTGGACCTTTCTCGATGAGCGTGACATTGACACCCATCTCACTCAGACGGAGCGAGATTGTGGATCCTGCAACGCCTCCGCCAACAACTGCAACAGAAAGCTTTTGATTGCCGGCCAGTTCTCGTGTTATATCGGCCAACTCCGAGGATGTATTTATAGCTGACGACCTATTTGATTGCTCTGTCATTGTCTCTCGTTCTGGTTTACACATAATGTATATGCGACAATATGCTGATGCCGTCTAGAATGACTACTGTAACTGAATAGGTATATAGCTATATGTAGCAACGCAAATCAAATTTAATCCAGGTTGCTTGTAATTCCAGTTAATCTTCTGAGTATATAAACTTAAACCTCGGTTATATATGCCAGTTGTAGAATGCTCACACGAGTAACAACACCCGAAGTTTTCATGATGAATATTGGATTGTCGCACGTCTTGGTGCGTATCTCTCGTAACTCGTTCATAGTCGGGTCCGGATGCATCAATTTTGTCTTGCGCTCTCATCGAAAGTGGAAAACGTCTTGTGATGACCTGCAAATGACATTGCGAAGACAGGGAAATATTTAATTAGTGAATGATATCATAGATCATCCCGGTGTTCTCCGGTCATGTGTTTTTAAAGTTTCAATTGGATGGTATAAAAAGTGCGATTTCTTTTCATCGATGATTGGCTGCTAGACGAACACTTTTAGAATACGTATATTTGCTTCCAATAGCTCTAGCTATACGTTTTCCGCTGTAATGGTGTGGAAAATAGTCAGTCTGAGTACGTTTTGAGGTTCCTGGCCATCATATATAGCCCAATCACATAGCCCTGACGCAATAGGAGTTTTTGAAGTCAAAACTAGCCAGTAAAGCACTACTAAAATCAAAAATAAAATCTATATTAGAATTATATCATTCGCTTATAGCTTACTCTGTACTTGTATGTATGACTTTAATATACTTGCTAGCTTGGATCAACTTCGAATGGAAAGGAATATTTAGGAAAATTGGAGATCCACCCATTGAATCTGGACTTTCCGGAGTCTTGTATTGTTGTACAACCAACGTTGTTATTTTTGTTTTTTTTAAATTCCGGGATCCCGAGTAGTATTATACTCGCGTATACATAAATACAACCAATATTGCTCGTATAAAAAAACCACCCCCTGTTTGTTTCGTTTTTATTTGTTAGAAAAAAAACAAATATTTAAAATGTATAGATATGTATATAAATATTATTTTTAAATAGCATAAAACAATGAAATATCGAATGTATTTTACCAGCAACTCAAAATGCGTGAAACTCTCAAAGTCTCAAGCAAGCCTGCCGGCTGCACTAGGGGTTGTTTTTTTTAAACCAATTTTTTTTTTATGAAAACGGCATCAAATCTTTTGGGCATTTTTTGGTTCAAATAAAACAAACTGCCTTTTAAAAATAAAAATATTTTAGTCTTTTGTTAAAATAAACTACGTACTGTACTGTACTCAGTGTACTGTACCGATTGAAGTTTCCTCTCGCTGCAATAAAATTACGCTCCACACTCCCAGCCCCGTGTCACTGTGCTGATGGCCTGACGACAGCGATGAGTGGTGAGTAAAATAGTTAAATATACACCTTCAAGTTTTCAGTTTTCACTCATTCCAGTCAGCACTCAGCTCACCAGTGTTTCCTTTTTCCAAAATCGAGCAATGACTCTTCACACAAGAGTAAAATATTGAATATTTAGAACAGAAAGCAGTCAATGAGTCAAAGCACGACAGGTGCGCTCACGCCTCATGCACCACCTCAGCGTCTTCTTGAGTCGCTGACAGCCTAAGAGTAAGCCCTTGAATGTGTTGAAACTTGAACGCAAAACTTGAACCGTTATTAGGGCTGGCCCTAAAGACGCCTGAACTTCTGAAGTGTGAACTTTGGAGGCTTACAAGATTTAATGTTCTCTTTTTAGGTCTAACGGTGTGCAAAATTCACGATGATGCACTTGAGATTTTCACCTACTCCTAACCGAATAGGGGCGCTATTTTGGATATGTAGATATAGGACAATCTTCGAACCTGACTTTGCTGATATATACGCAGTCTTGCACCCTATAAATTTACACTCTGGGTCTAAGCTCAATGCGTTAAAAGTTACAGCTTTTATTCTACCTCGAATAAACATTATTTTAAAAAGTTGCAACTTTTATATCTTGATAATGCCCTTTCATATATGATAGGGGCATTTTCCAGGTCACTCAGGTGACAGTCGTCACAACTGAAACGCTCAATCTCTTTTGATTGCCTATTGTTTCGTGGCCTAAAATTTTCGACGATAGGACAGCTTGTTGAGTGCAGTTGCAAAAAACCTAGTAGTTGATTTGTCATAAATAAAAGTTTTAACTTTTAAGAAAAATCAAAAGTTAACATTAAAGTTGGAACTTATATTCCGTCCCCTATAACGTATTGAGCTTAGCAGTCTGGGGGTTCTGGGCTACATAGAGAATGGGTTGAACCGAAACGAGAGAATATAGAAGTTGAACGGAAACGAATCTGAAAAGGTATGCTCTGTGAGTCCACAAAGCCATTCAAAGCTCGGAACTATGTTGAACTGACACTGCAGCTGTGCAGGCCCGGTAGGATAGTGTGGGAAAACTGGGAATACTGGTCCTGATAGGCACTTTTCTTTTGCCTAACAATCTTATGACTAAAAACCATGACTAACAACCTTATGACTAAAATTATGACTAAAACCCCTTATGCCTAGATTTTATGACTAAAAAATCCCTTATGACTAAAAATTATGTAAATGTTTCTTATAACTAAAATTAAGACTAAATGCCGAAGCTTCTCACTTTGATCTTTTATATTTCTAGAGAAACTTTTTTAAATACTCCTTATGCCTTTAGAACAACTAAGACTAAATGCTTCTTATACCTAACTACGAGACTAAATGCTCCTTATGCCTAACAACAAAGACTATAGGACTCTAGGACCATCCTCCGGATTTTAGTCCGTGTGGTATATTTTTAATCTCAAAGTCTAGAGAGGGTCAAGGTAGGACTGTAGCCTGTGCTTGATGCTAAATTTTTATTCAACCGGATGTAGGATTAAAACTCAATTCCCGCCGGAAGACTGAAGACTGGTAAGTGGTAACCAATTTATTTTTGCTAAAGTGACTCTTTTGTTTGTTTTTTCTTTTAAAAAAACATATATATTTATGTATACACTATACAGACTACAGATACTAAAAATATACAATCATTTTTATCATACATAACTCTTGATGGTTCACGACACATTGGCTACTCCTGGAGCAGAAACTGGAAGGTAAGAACGATTACTGGGGCAGGCAAACCGTAGGCCCAAACAGCCCAGTCCCCAAGGCTCAGGCCCCAAGCCCCAAAGGCCAAAGCTCAGGCCCCGGAGTCCTAGAGATTCCCTATCTCTCTCTATCTCTCAAGTCTTAACACAAGAGAGGACAAGAAGGGCCCAGCACCCCAGCCCCTCGCCCAGGCCCTGGGGTTGGGGGTTTTCTTTTGTTCTGTTTTTGTTTGTGACGAACGACGTCTGACGACACCCACGACAGTGACGACTGACGACTGACGTCTGATGACTGACGACGGATGGCTGAAGAGTGACGACTCGAGGTCCGTAACTCCGTTATGAATATGTGTGCCTGTGCCACTGCTACTGTGCACTGTGTGACTGTGATGAGATTAGGAATTCAGGTCCAGGACTCCAGGACTCTGGGATGCCAGTCATGACTCATGCCTTTGTTTTATTGTTTTGGTTCACACTTTATTTTTAAAAATAGAAAACTAAAAGGGGAGCTTTTCTGGGGGGTTTTTTTGTTTACATTTTTTAAAAACAAATCTTGCGTTTCTGCGATAAATAATATTAAAAATTTTGAATTTTTCAATATTTAACCTAATTTTTCACTTGCCTGTTTTAACAGAAAACAAATCAAAAGAGCACAGAGTCACGGTCTCACGCCTCACGGACATAAAATCATATTTATTTAAAATAATTACCTTCTAGATAAACATTATTTTGGTTTTTGTTGCTCTTTTTTAAAAAACTCTTTTGTTTTGAACAATTCTTTAGTATAAGGTTTGGCAAATGGCGTGCCTGGGCGGCTGGCCCTGGTGGAGGCTGGAATCATGTGACCAGTCTCCTGAGTCCTGCACTCCTGACTCTTGGCCGATCTCTCTGTGTCTTGCTTCGCTCTCCCGCCTCTCTCTTGTCTCTCCCGTCTCTCTTGTCTCTCTCTCGTCTCTCTTGTCTCTCTCTTGTCTCTCTCTTGTCTCTCTCTTGTCTCTCTCTTCTCTCTCTTGTTGTGTGTGCTGTGTACACAAATATATCGAGATGGCTACGGAGACAATTGATAATGACCGTAATGGCGTAAAGACGCAAGTATATAAATAAATACAATATCGTCGGAGGAAACCTCTTCTCGCTATGAAACTTGTACTATTTACATTTTCCTGATCTCCGTGGGTGGGCTTGGTAGGATAGTTCAGACTCTAGACTCTATAGTATATTTATATAGAGTAGAGAGAGGTAGTTCATCTACGCGTCTTCTTCCGTGAAATCCACCAGCGAGCACAATTATTTATCTATAACTACCGATTGAAAATACATAAATGAAAGAAATTTCAAATTGGGCCAAGTATTGGACGATTCGGGTTCGCAGAATGTCGAGTTGTGGTCAATAACAGTTGAATCGAAGTTATTGCTACTATACTTTCGCAGGAAGCGCAGGATTTTTGAATGGAGTTTCATTCATTCTGGTCTTTAAACACATTGGCGACTACTTTTCAAGTCCCCCGATTCTCCAAGAAGATTCTATTGAAGCTCACATGGGCGTATGTTCATGTATATTTTTGTACCATGATGGTTTGAAAGACATGTTACATTAGTCTACCTTTTTATACTACGTACTCTATACCTGATACGTGCAGTTGCCTGCTTGAATTTGTCGTGCGTTTCTCTTTCGCTTTCTTTTAAGACAACGAAGTCACTAGGCTACGTGTTCTGAAGTTAAATTTGCGCCTCTTCGTGAGATTGACGTTTCATCGCCATAGGTGTGACTGTCCGTAGCATCGTTTTAAATCCCACGTGTCTCCATATTTGCATCCCCAGTTGTACATGGCACAATCATTTTCTTCTAAAATTAAGCAATATTGAAGGCTATCGGCTATCCTTTTAAATCGAAGGTGATGAGCTCCCGCATTTCAAGACAGTGAATGCGCTGGTCTATTCATCCAATGTGTGGGTCCAGCCTACACGAGCTTTATGCTGACAATCAACAGAACACGCGCCCCCAGATCAAGTGGCGAACTACTTATTTTAAATGATGATACTGTTACGGTAATGCGGCAAGCCAAGCAGAAGTAAACAAGATATTTTGAACCCACATTCCCTCTTCAAGCAGTCAATACAACCTGTACCTACAGAGGCGTTGGTTAACGGTTCGCTTGTGGTTCTAAGTACGTTTTAATCACTAATTTGGAAAGTTGCGAAAGCAGTCTCAGATTCCGGCAGACCAGAGCTTGAATGTCCTGTCGTAACCTGCCGACAGTATCTTACTCCCATCTGCAAGGTTGTTATTGTGTTTGGTATTTGTTTTAGCGAGTGGTGTGGTTTAATAAAATTCGTCGGCACAACGTACAACCGGTGTGGAACTTAAACTTCGTTGTGCAGAATGGTTTTGTGCATCTCCTCCCACAACCGAGAATGTATTTTATTTTGTGATACTTTTGCCTGCACAATTTAACATGACTAAGAGGTGGAAGGAACACAATCTCTCGTCAAACGGCTCTTTATGTTACGAAATGATATGTCGATATGAAACTCTTAAATGCACACAGCTTCACCCCCACGTTTATGACCGCCTTCTATTCACGGATGAGATACAGATGTGAACATTGAAAAACTTTGTGAATATGTATGTGCTTTGTGTGTCTATGAAATTATGTATATCATTTTCTGATGCACTTCTATACGTGCAGACCTAAGGACGACATAGTGTGTATTCTGCATTATCCAATATATATAGCAGAATACACACTCATATGTTTAAATATAAATATGTGTATCACCATTATGTGCATAATTATCAACTTTCATGCACATCCACGTATTGTACATATCCAAGCATATAAACCTTGTCTGCTGATGGTATTTTCGGTCTCCGCTACGTTTACATTTATATATATATATATATATATATATATATATATATATATATATATATATATATATATATAGTGTGTGTGTGTGTGTGTGTACGTAGTGT